ACAGAAAACAGCCAAACAGATTAGAGAAAAGAAAATACTGCTCCGATACCACTTGTTGGTCCCTTGAGGGTCTACAAGATAAGTAAAACAGTTTGTAGAAGGGGGGGGGGAAGAATACAAACACAATATTTTCAAATTTAAAATGTATATTGATAAAGAAGATCAATACAAATTTTACAAGATTGTTTGCAGAGAGATAAGGTAAGAAAACCTATCTAAACAATCTTTGGTTACACACAAATTCTTAGCAAATGAGAAAAGAAATGATGTAAAGAAAAGTTCATTTACTTAAGCTAGGAAATGCTCAAAGTAAGAATTAGGTTTAGAGAGTGAGTTGGGCGCGCTCTGCATGGAGAAGAAACACTTCTATTTATACCCAGTGTATTAAATGTTCATTTAATGCAATATGGTAGGGTTAGAGTGTGTGTCAAGCCTTAAGTGGAAGGCTTGTCCTTTGGTATAGTGAATAGTACATAAAGCACTATTCATGAGCAGACATCCTTACCTAAAGTTGGTGGACAATACAGTCAACTAGTCGGCTCCTTACCGTACTAACTATTAGAAAGGGTATGGCTTTGTCATTTGTGTGCATAAGAACAAGACAACAACAATCGTGCTAAGCATGCGTCCTTTGATCGCTGAATGCTGGATTAACCTGAAGGTCTCTTCAGCATTCGCTGAGGCTTGAGCAGTCTTCACACATATGTAGACGGGCTTATAATCACTAAGTACCGCTTCAGATCATGTACTCGCCAGTCTCTAATCTTCAGTTTTAGTCTTCAACATTAGCTGAATGTTCTTTGGTGTGAGTGTTGTCTTCTTGAAGTATCGATGTCTCTGATTGAATTACAATACAAGTTCTTCAGCGATCACTGAACAGGTTCAGTGATGATCGCTGGAACTGAAAAGACAGAAACGTAAATACAACATATAAGTGAAAAGGGATTATCATCAAATCACTGAGAGAGAGGATCAACAAATACCACTAGTGGAGGATCCGTATGATACCGTTCCTAGAGAATATCGACGAAGAACTCATGAATTTAATCCTAAATAGGCACTTTGATCCCTTCATCGAAATTCCTGCTATTGAAAGAACAGACAACACTCATGCAATCCTTGCTTCAAGGATCAGAAAGGATCCTAGTATGTATAATGCAGAGGATAAGAGACGAGCAAACATTAATAGAAGGGCACTCACTCTTCTTACAATGGCTCTATCCAATGAGATCTTCAACAGGGTAGACAACCTTACTTCAGCAAAGGCTATGTGGGATGAAGTTGAGTCCCAGATGCAAGGAAGAGAGAAAGCCATGCAAAATAAGGTAAATATTTGCACAGGAGCATATGAGGGTTTTAAGTCCAGAGAATCAGAATCTCTAACATATAGGAGATTCAATGACATTCTCAATGACTTGAGAAGAAACGACCTTCAAAAGATTAACTCTGAATTCAATAATAAATTTCTAAAAAATCTCGGGCCAGAATGAGATACTTTTGCAGATAATCTTTTAACAAAAAATTCGGCCAAGAAAAGTATTCATGACATTTTTGGAATACATAACCAACATGAGGAAAAAGTCATTGAGAGGATGTCTGAGAAAAAGAAGGTTCATGATTCCTTGGCTCTTATCTCTGAGAGAAAGTACAAAAGCAGCTCCAAAAAAGCCTCAAAGCTAATGGAAATCCCAGAGGTAGGCCCCTTATCTGGCACAGAAGATGATGATTCTGACATAGAGTTGAAGAAGATGGCTGAAAATCTGGCCTTGCTCACCAAGGCCTTCAATAAGAAGTTTGCCAAAAGAAGTCAGCGATACCATTTTCGGAGCATGGTGCTCGTCTGGTAGGACCTAAAACCCATTAATTTAGCTTGATTTTTAATATGTTATAATTAACACATGTTCGTATTATTTAACCTTTGTAGACACGAGCAAAAGACGGCGTGCCACCGACCGTTGTGGAATTTTTTGATTATACGCATGAGAAGAGGTCGAGTGGAGATGCCGCACGGATTCTGGGGGGTACGTGACCTCCAAGTGTAGCCAAGTCATGGTAAGTATATCTATTTAGTTTAATGTTTATAATTGGATGCATAACTACTATCTAGGTTGGGCAAACGTTCGAGTCATTTAAATTAAAATCTACTTTGGGTTGCCATTTGTTGGGCAAAAATTAAAATTGTTTAAGTTAAAAATTACGTATATATCAATATTTAGTTTGGGTTGCCATTTGTTGGGAAAATTTAATGATTGTTTTGGATACAATTTTCGTATGTATCACTATTGTTTTGTCTGGAAACGTCCCATTTACAGCCGTCATGCTGTCAAAATTGACTTGTAATCTTTTTTAAACCATATATAGGATGACTATTTAACGGGTCTCACCCAAAGATTCGGCGATGATCCCTCCACCTATCCCTTAGTTGATAAAGAGTTGTGAGAGCATGCGGTTGGGGGAAGCAAGAAAGACCGTCTATTCAGGTTTAGGTACAACCAGGATCCCAATTAGGTCTTGACTGAGAACTACACACAAGGTGGTCCATCGTCTTCAGAGACTCAGATATGTGCCTCTTTTCCTCTGATGATGTTTATCGATTTAGTTTATAATACATATTAAATAATATAACGTTTTATTTATTTTATAGGAAATTAAAGCCTTAAGGACCGAACTTATCGATTTACAAGAATAAAAACAGCGCCGACGGATGGTAAGGGAGCGACAGGACAAACAACTTTAAGATATGGCTACTTTGGTTAGACAGCTCAGTTAATCACAACATTCCCCCCCCCACCNCCCCACCCCACCCCACCCCACCAAATTGAATATCGTCTGTTTGTTTGGAACAATTTAGTTTGTTTGTAACAACTGTGTGCTACTTTAAATTGAATATCGTTTGATTGTAACAATTATTTAGTTTAATATATGATATTTAGTTGCATTTCATCTTTTTAGTTTTTTTAATATTTTACATATTTACAGGTTTTAAATATTTATTGTAAAAATATTCTAAAACTAATATTTTTTTTTAAGTTCTGGATCCACTGGTCATATTTATAGAATAAATAAATTTATTTTAAAAACAATTTTTTAAAATTTGCTTTTTCCGGCGAAAAATATAGCGATGCATTTCCGGCCGAATACTCCACCGGTAATTTAATTTAATTATTTTTAAAAACTTAATTTTTTCTTAATTTAATGAAGATTTCTTATCTAAACCGGTGAAAAATTCCGGCTGCCAGAATCCGCCGAAAAAATAAAAACCCGTCGGTAAGTTAATCACCGGCGCCAACATTTCCGGCGACTATATCTGCCAGAAAGAAAGATTTCCGACGGATATTGTTGTCGGAATGTTGCCCTGTTCGGTAGTGAGCAAATGGTTATCTAGGCTGGTTGATGATAAGTTTAAGCTACTTTACACAAAGAAGATGCTCGAGCAGATAACCATAGAGATAATGAAGAGGTCCACAAGATTTTACGAAGGGAGTTGCATATCTACATATAGCGTAATGATGAGCTATTAAATTAGTACTAAAAAGTTGTAATTTTCTGCCCCAGAGTGACAATCCTGTTGCATTTGTTATTTAAGCCAAGAAACGTATCTAGTACATTAAATTGGAAGAGAGCAATAGCAAATGTTAACTATACAGATTACAGTCCAAAAAGCTCCCAATTATTGCTGCAACTAACAAGCTCTAAACAATCTAAAACAAAAAAAATGTGAACAAAATAAATGTCTTTGTGGCATTTCCTCAAACACCTTTGAATTACATGAGACAAAAAAATCAACAAACAATTTTCAATATTGATAAGTTGGTGCCGACAAATAGAAATGAAGAGGAATCAACTGACAATTTACAGTAGTGAAGAGGAATCAATAAAGCCAGTTGAAGACTTGAAGTAAACAAAAATAAATGTCTTTGAGGCACAAACAAAAGTGAGACACTGAGACAAACAGAAGTGAAGTGGATTCAACACACAGAAGGAAGAAACAACAACTGAAAGAGGAAACAAAAATAAATTACATGATCGGAAGGAGAGTGAAAACACACAGTAGTGAATCGATGGAGATGAGCGATGGATGGAGAGGGAATTGGCAGTGAAACCTAACCATATACATATCAATAATCAGAGTTAAACGATAAAACGCAATTGATGAGATGAGAGACAAGAAAAACAAAAACCCAGTTACTTGAATCGTAACCAAGATCCAAAGACGTAAGTTAAACGATAAAAAGCAAACAATACTGAGAGTTAAACGATAGACACAACAAACCTTTTTGAATAATCTCTGAGCTCTATTTTGGAACATCAGGGAGGAGGGAGCTTTGATACATCAAATCGGTTTTGAAGATTGTGAGAGAAGAAATCTGTTCGAGCAGATCCACAAGCTGATCGAGGTGATACATCAAAACCATCATTGTTAAGTTGATCAAGGTGATACATCCACAAATTGTTGTAAGTTAATCATTTACTGTAAGTTAAAGGTTAGAATAATCATTTGTTGGAAACCGTCATTTAGTAAAAATTTATTCGAACATATTATTTACATAACGATTGTTGAGAATTGCAATGTTATATAGAGTTCATTAAAATTTTATTGAAAATTACTGTTTCATACAAGATTTACTTAAAAGCTTAATAATTTGTTAAGATAATAAATACATCAAATATTTTAATAATATAATTAAATTAGAAATTATAAAAATTTGTTAAGAAATATGGTAAGCAATCAAATACGAAATCAATGCTCTTGTATACATTTAGAGACCATTTATCAAACTTTTATCGGATAAACATTATTGATGTCACCTACCTTACCAACGAGTATGTAAGAATCGAGAATCTTGTCCAATAAAAAGTATAACAAGAACTAATAATCTAAGCCCAATTAATTGTTATCGAGTATAAGACACTCACTCACCAAATCTATTTTGATGACGTAGAATATTACCACCTAACTTTGAATGATGACGGTAATAGCATTTGATAGACAACAGAGTAGAAAAGGGTAGTTTTTTTTTTTGACATTAAACAATAAACATGATTTATATAAATACAACACAAATCTTCTCCATTACAACTAATTCAGCCACACAATCCATAGATATTCAACAACAAAAAATAAAAATAAAATCCATAAAAACAAGTAGGAGTAGTTCATATCATTATTTTCTTCCTTTTTTCACCCTATCTGAAAGAAAGAAAGAAATACATACACATAGATGACATAAAATCACCTCTTTGATTTTTTTCTTTACCCTTTTTCTTTCTTCTTATGTTCATCAATCAGTTGTCATGGGTTGACTGATGCAGCACCTGAAACGAGCCTTTCGAACGGTCGTCATAATCTCCGTCTCGGCATGTTCCAGCATTCTCACAACCTCCGTGAATGGGGGCCTCACATCAGAATTTCCATCCCAGCAACGTACCATAATTTCACCAAGTACTGGAAGGCAGTCGTTTGGAATTGTTGGACGGACGCCTTTATTCACAACAGCAAATGCAGCCTGCACGGCTGTCATGTTTTGAAATGGAAGCATTCCCGTGATGAGCTCCCACAGGACAATCCCGAAGCTATAAACATCTACTTTCTGTGTGTATGGCCTGTGCTGGATCATCTCCCTGCAATAACCACCACCAATTAATTGCAGGACACTCAACAACGGGAATTCAAATACGGATCGGAAAAGCTGTTGCTTTCAAAACAGAAAAGGGATAAGATATGACAACAGTGTAAAATCACATAACATTACGGAAGCCAAATATTTGAACCTAGGACCTCCTTTACGGATGCCCACCATCCCTAGCGCTGAGGGACAAAAAAGTACCAACGGCTATATGGTAAGACCGTTTGCGGTCGACGTTCCGGCAAAGTGTGTCCGTCGACAGCTGAATGATCTCTACAACAGGATACCTTTAATGATACTTAACAAGTACACTTAAAGATAATCTCATTGAGACAATATGAGCTAGAATGTGATACCAAGAATGGAAAAGAAACTAATGGCACATCAATATTAACTTATAATTAGAAATTGCTTATTAGCTTTAGTAATTTTATGAACCATGAATTGTGAATCTAAGGGGCCATGTACTAAACACCTACCAAGGCAAAGACCAAGAATCTTACTCGGTAAGTGATCTTACCCCGTTAGCAGGTGGAGTGCTTTGACGAGGGAATGGAAAATCAACATTGGGTGGGGGCAAAAGGACAATTTTAAGCATCTAAACTCAATGTATCAGGAGGAGGAGGAGGTCAAGGATGGATAACATATTGTATATAAGACAATTTTAAGTATCTAGGCTCCATAATTGAGGACGACATAACACATCGCATATAGACGGGATGATATGTGACAAGGTCTTGCTAAATATAATGAGAGGATGTTGGAAGTTGTAGAAATGAGGATGCTCAGATGAACCTATGGTTGGACAACATACACTATAAGTTCTTTCGGACGGAGTTGTTAAGGAGAGCGGATAGTGTAACTGTTCGAGGACTTGGGTTCCACAATTGCAGATAGATATGTCAGCCATAGGAATTTCCGAGGGCATGAGAAATGCTTAGAGACGCACGACGAAGGTAGCACATAGGAAATCATTCGATCGTTTGTTGAATATTTAAAATACCCTTGGCCTTTGTATAAACACAACATAATGCAAACTTACGGAGCCATCCAGCGATAGGTCCCTGTCTCTGGTGTCATTCCTTCAGTCTGCACCTCAATTCGAGCAACTCCAAAGTCGGCAATCTTGATTGATTTGTCAGCCGAAATTAGAAGATTGTCCGACTTCAAGTCCCTATGAATCAATCCAAGCGCATGTACATATTCCATCCCCCTCGCAACATCCAGGGCCTGCTTCACTGCTAATTTCAAAGGTACGGATCTGTTCTGCCGCTTAGTCAAAAACTGCCGAACCGAACCACCCTTTGCATATTCCGTCACAATACACCATACCATGGGCTTCCGGCATGCACCAATGAACCTAACTATATTTGGGTGCTTTAATCTCGCAAGCATCATGACTTCCTGCTGGAACTGTTGCTCCATGAGCTGTGCCCTGTCTATGTCATTTTCTGGTTTTTCAAGAAGCTTGATAGCAACATCCTCACCATTGTATGTACCTTTATACAGCTTCCCAAAAGCACCTTGTGCAAAAGCAGGTCCCATGCTAAGTTTCCTCAGATCAATTGTCCATTCGTCAAAATTCTCGAGCCCATCAGTAGGAAAACGAGCATCCAATAGAGCTCGAGCCAAAGCGTCATCACTTAAGCCCTGAGAGACCCTTCCTCTATTCACACTCTGAGCATCAGTATAATTCTTGTTACGTTTGAGACCTTGGTGATTTAATATGCGTGTGTGAGATTCATTCGATCCAACACTACTGTTATCAAGAGACATTGCAACTGATCCTCCACCATTGCTCATCTGTAAACTGTTAAAACTGTCGATCGACATGTTTGATCCCTCACCAAGCTTATGATAGAACCCTTGTGATAGATCGATAAAATTATCATGGCCGTTGTTTAGGCCCATCATGCCTGTAAACTTCGGAGCCTCCAACATTTTTCCAAACTCTCCTTACCCCTTCTTCAGCATGCATTAACTGTCAAACTTAGACCTACACAAAAAATATCAATAAGTTTCCGCATATTCTTCCATGAAAGCTTAAATGAAGTATATACAATTGTAGTTGTGATTTTGGAACATGTAAATGGAAAAAAGTTGCTCTTTTAACAGCAAACACAAAATATGAGAAAAATGAAAGATCATCATCATCAAGTCCCAATTCTGGAACTCTCATTCATATGAAACATCTCCCACAGCAATTAAACCTTATCATGTTTCAACTACAGCTGACTATCACCAACCGGCCCACACACTCAAACCATAGTTAATTTCTTAACAGGTAACGACACCCCATATCTTTAGAACCCCATAGAACAGCTCAAAAGCAGTCAAAATTAGCATCTTTACAGTTAATTAACGGAAGCTCATCTATACACTTAAACCTCCACTTTGAAAACCGATCCATGAACATAATAGATAACGAAGATAAAAGGTGGAAAAATGAACAGATGAGCAAGAGGGTTTTGTTCGAAATTTCCATCCAAGATTTAATAATTGGTCCATTCTCAGCCTCGGTAAAGTCCATCTCGGAGGGGGGATCGCGCCCATCTCAATAAAGTAGAACCTGGTGAACCGGGCGTTTAAATGTCCTTCAAAAGTAAGTAAATAGATCCACATTTCAGGGTCAAGGGCCGATGAGCACATTGAACTTGTTTCATTTTACCGATCATGATTGTGATTGCAGAGTTATAAATAATGGAAAAGGGATAAGACAAGGGAATGATAAAATCAACCCGGGTTCAAATCCTGCATTCACATATGCGCTTGTGGCCACTGGAAGATTTACCTCGGGGCTGTGAGGGAAGCCTACGGTCACGACTTGCCATGGGATCACCCAAAATAAAACAGCAGAGACTATTGTGACATCACATGTCTTCGCAAATTGTTGTTGAAGAGTTTAATAGAAACAAAAAACATGGTGAGAAACTAATGAGAGAAAGCAATGAGAGAAGAGGAACGGAGCACAACAACCAGTCCCCCTTCTCTTTCAGGAGAGCTTTCGGCATCATCAATCTTGACAGGTTTTCATCTTTTGGATAAAAACGTTAAAGAACATGTTAAAAACAATTCAATTTGTCTTTTTATATGTTTCCATTAATGTTGACTGTAAGAGAAGAAAGCAGCGACTATTTTAAGAAAGTAATATTGTTTCTGTCATGACTTCATTATTACCCAAGTTTCTTTTTTTGCAAAAAAAGGATAAGCAGCAGATATCCGTATTTTTGTCTCTCATATACCATTATTTCATTTGCAGGTATTCATAATCATCGTGCTTTTCTCAGGGAGCTAGAATCCCAAACCTAGGATTTTCTCATTTGTGCAAGTGGCATGCCTGAAAACAGTACTTGGTGGTTGTATTTCTTTTGCTTTTTCGTGATCCTACGTGAAAAAGAAGGGAGACAGTGGATCACGAGAGGTAATAATGCAATATATATGACATGCATTTAACACAAGAAGTGTACATTTTTCAATTGTTGTGCCACGTCAGATAGTTCTTAGTTAGAGTAGCTGCTCGAAAATGTTTTCTTTAACAAACTTCATTTTTTATTTGCAATCGGGAAAGTATAAGGATTCATTAACACTCACTTAAATGTACGAGTTACTAACTACTAGGCGTGTTCAAAGAAAACGCTAGACCGCCCAAACCAAGTCAAACCGGATCGTGTATGACGGTTTGAGTGGTCTGGTAGTCCGGTCCGGTTTGGTTTGTGATTTAGGGGGTTAAACCACCCAAACCGGACCGAACACACCCCTGCTAACTACAATCCTAGACTTCAATGTTTCAAATTGAAAAATATGTTCTGAAAAAAACAGTTTCTTATTATTCATTTTGTCGACTTCCATCTACTATACCCACGTCATGAAGAGGTGCTTTCAACTATCAACATTTTCTTTTAACATGAAGAGATTGTGTATCAGTTTATACATGAAAAACCGTTGTAAGTTGCTATATATTCTTTCTGCCTCTCAAGTCTCAACTTACAGAATTGACCTTGTATACATTTTGATTTTCTAAAAGACGATCCATATTGAAATAAATTAAATTTTTTAGGTAAAATAAACTTTCCATTCAGGGAGCTAAGAAATCCTATATTGTTTCACAGAAGAAACAGACTTATTCCTCTATAAAAGCTTAAATAACATATATATAAGAGTCATAGGTCACCTAATACAAATTCATATATGAAAACACACAGCTGATTTACTTGTAGTTCAATTGATCCACAAAGAGAAAATGATTTTCTTCATACCTAAAATGACCGAAAAATCTTGAGCAAATTTCGACTTTTAAGTCATAAATGATATAAAAGTAGCTTCTTTGAGGGCGTTAAAAAACAGGAACTAACCCTAACTATAAAACCATTTACAAACACAAGAGTATTCTATTCATACCTGAGACAGCTAAAGATCACCAACGAGTTTCGATCTTGGAAATCTTGAGCAAAACAAAATTGCTTCCAAGGAAGAAGGAATTAAACCCTAACTTTCATTTTCAGTTAACCCTAATCATCAACCATCTAAATAGTTAATTTCCCAACAAGACCATCAAAACATCAATTAACTCCATAAACACACAATCCCCAATTACAAACAGCCAAAACTGTATCTTTATAAACCCCACATAAGCGAAATCCCAAAAAACCGAAGACTTTGAACAGCTCAAAACCATAAAAAGTCGACATTTTTTTCAGTCAAACGAAACAAATTCATCCATACGCTAAAAACCTACAGATTAAACAGTGATCCATGAACAAAAAACCAAATATTAGGGTAAGAACGTTAAGGAACTTACAGATTGTGAATAGGGTTTTGCTTGTTCTTTTTCCAATTCGCGATTGCGATGAAAATTACACAAGTGTAAAAAGATGATTGCTATAATGGTGGAGATAAGTATGAGAAGGAATGTTGCTGTCGTTGGTGGGTTTGACGCCGACGAAAAGACGATGAAAGTCTAGAGAGAGAGTAACAAATAGAGAAGACGAAGAAAGAAAAACAAGAACAACTGGTCTTCGTTCTCTCGATTATTTTTTGTGTATTATTTATATTCTTGACAACCGGGTCAGCATCATACCATTCACCATTTACCCATCAGTAGCAACTCATTCTTTCTCTCCAAAATTTCCATCCACCTTTTATATATATATATATATATATATATATATATATATATATTTATATTTATATTTATATATTCAAATCTAATTGGAATCCCAAAAGAATTGAAATGAAATGTTAGATCAAGTGTTTGATTGATGAAAAATAAAATATAAGAGGTGTTTGGGATTGTTTATTTAAAATAACTCATGTTTTTTTTTGTAAAAGTGTTTATTAATTTATATGGTGGTAAACTGGAGTTTTATAAAAAGTTTGGATTAGCTTATGACGGTACCACACTGGATAAGCGATAAAATAGATAAAGCTACCTTTTTTTTCTTTTTTTATCCAAACACTAAAACTCCTTATTGTCGGTACAATACCTGAGAGTTCTTATGTTGATCAATCTTCAATAACCTCAAGAATCCATGGCAGATCTATGATTTAACCTTTAAGAACATAACGGAGATGATGAGAGGAAAAGTCAATTTTCTATCTTGGTCAAACCTCTATTACGTAAACTTGAATTTTACAAATGAGTTCCCTACAAAATTACAAAGAATAAACTCTTTATACAGGGTCAAACTTGAAAGTCACTAGTCAAAGTCAAACTACACTAGAAAAGTCAAACACGATGTCTAAAACAATTATAGATAAAATTAACTTTCAAGACGAATACAATTTAACACTAATTTTCAGTTTTAACAATACCGGAATAAGTTAATAAGTTAGAAGAAATTAACTTATTAAAAACTCTTTATTACCGGTGTCAAACGGGTATAAGCATTTCTCCTTTTTCTTCATCCAAACACTAAAAACTCCTTATTAATGGTACCACACCAAAATAAGTTAATAAGCATTTTAAATAAACAATCCCAAACACACTCTCGTAGCATGTGAAATGAATTGAAATGTGTATCATTTACAAAAGGATCTGAATAAAATCATGAAAAATACAAAATTACATTTTCTTTGATATTTTCATTTTTAAGTATATATAATAAAAAGATTGTTATGAACAATTGTACCATTGTAAAAGTGTTTATTAACTTATATAGGGTTATCAACAAAAGCAAATCGAATGTTATTGCCAAAAGCAAAATCGATTACAAAAGCAGAAAAATCATTTTGAAGCAAAAAATTGAACGAAAACCAACTGGAATTTGTTCATAAAAGAAATTTTATTTTTGAAACAATTTGATTTTGAAGCAGAAAAATCGATTTTGCAACAGGAACTTGTTCATAAAAGAGAATACGATTTTGAAGCAAATAAACTACATAAGCAGAAAAAAATCGTTAATGGAAAACCCAAACAGAAAATTTGATTACGGAAGCAAATTGATTATGAAGCAGGTAAGTGTGAAGGAGAATGATACTAGGAGAAATCATGTTTGAGTCCTCAGCGAGATGGAGAATTCTAAGTGAGATCGATAGAAATCTTTGAATATAGTGTTTAAATCTGTGAAAAACTTGAATAAGGGAGACATTTTTTATCAGATTCTAGGGTCTAATAAGGGCAATTTTTCATTTTAAGTTGGGTGAAATGGAACTCAATTCCTTCCTCAGTGTTATGGAATGATGAAATCCATTGTTGAGGGAATTAATGGAATTTAATTCCATTCCATAGGTAAATCAAATGTTGGAATGAAATTTGGTCCACGAAATTGATCATTCCAATTCCAATTACATTATCTTACATCAAAGATGGAAACTAGTTCTACTTTGAAGGCCATGTGGATCATTTCATGAGCAGGCTAACATTGAAAAGATTACGGAAGATTTTGAATCTGCCAAAGCCAAACTCTCTGTACATGGAAGAAAAGAATTTGAAGAGTTCATTTCAAATGAAGAACTTTGTGCTAATATAAAGAAGCTAGGATATTTTGGAACCCTTAACCATCCGTCGTAGTTCAAACGCAAGTTCTTACCTTCAGTATGACATCTTCTGTTCTCAATCTTGAACGGATGCCTTACCTTGAAGACTGCCAACGTCGATACTTGCAGCACAACATTCCTAAAATTCTTTCACGGCATGGTGTTCAATAGGCACTATGACTACACAACGGTAATCTGGAATGAACTGGCAGAGTTGGTGCATGCGAAGAAATTTTCCTTGAAAGCAAGGAAGTTTCTTCCATTTCAAAGGTTCTTACAGCAGATCATCAAGTCGATGATGCAGTCTAACAAAAAAAATTATTCACGATTAGATACACCGTTCAACCCAGACTATGAAATGCACTTTCTTCGACCCTATGTTGAAGTTGAAGATATTGATTCTATTATGAACATTCCTGACGATCACCATAGATAACAACTATTCCTCTTTCTGGAAAAGTAATTCTGATCATTTTCTTATTGCAAACAATACTAGCCTGATATTTTGTCAACCACTCCATACCCACTACTACATCAAATTCTTTCATCGGCATAGGAAATAACCGAATCGGTAGCTTACAACCCTCAATAATAATAATAATACATTTATTGAATATTCTAGTAACAGTTTCCTGACTATTAGCAGTATCAACTACTAATTCGTCATCAAGTAACACAGAATTCAAACATGCAGTTTGAGCAAACAATGGTGATACAAACGAAAAGTTTGCACCAGAGTCAAATAACACCTTTGCATGTATAGAATTCAAAAAGAAAGTACATGTTACTACATCTGGTGACGCCTCTGCCTCATTCTTCCTCATCTAGAAGGACCATCCCCGTGCCCCTCCTTGCCCTCCTCTGGTCACAGTAGGTCTTCCCCGAGTACCCGACGCATTACTCCCCATTGTTAGCTGTGGAGTTCTTAACAATGGACAGTTTGGTCGAATATTGCAATTGAAACGCCTGCTGTTAGCTAGGCAACTCCTTGACAAATGACCCGCTTCGCCACATTTATAACACTTTCTAGGGTCCATCTTACACTCACCCTAATGAACCTGTCGGCATTGTGAACAGACTTTCTCACCCATCTTCTGCTCAGATCTGTTATCGTATTTTACTGCTTTTGGCCCTCGAAAATTAGATGAAGGCCCTTCCCATCTTCTCTTTTCCACAACTTTTCCTTCTGATTGTCAATTCTTATTTCGTTCTGTTACTTCGGCCGCATCCACAATAAGTGAAAAGATATTAGGGTTCATAGCAATTACAAACTCTCTGATTGAGGGTTTCAAACCCCAGATATACCTTTCTATCTTCCTGAATTCTGTTGAAACATAGTGCTCGACAAATCGAGAGTATTCAATGAATTTCTCGGTATACTCTCGAACTGTTCCATTTCCTTGTTCTAATTTCAGAAAATCCTCTTCCATCTGTGGTATCGATCTTTCCTGAACATTCCCAAAATGGGATTCTTCAGGTTCAGGGTGTACTTCAGTCCGATCTCTTCCTTGCGACTGACTTCTTCCTCTTCCTCTTCCCCTGGGTCTTCCCCGACCTCTATTTCCGGAAGTGCTAGTTGGAAGATTAACAGGTGACTCTTCTCTTTTCTTAGAATCTGGACGGGCTATTCTTTCAGATCTCCGGGTTCGGCTAGACATCTATAGATTTTAGTGTTAATAATCACGTATTCACATTCCCAAATATAATGAAGTATTTAAGTTCATGTATGTACCTGTAAATTCATAATTACATTGGCCAGATGTAATTAAAATTTACCTTACACATTGTTCCTTCAACTCATTATATTTATTTCCAATGGTGCTAACTATGTCTGGGACCCTTAACATGCAATAAAACAGTTTAAGTCTAGGTATCATGCTGTTGAATACCTAAATACCTTAAACTCAGGCTCTGATACCACTTTATGTAACACCCCATTCCACAGATTGCATGTAACATATACTTCATACATAAGAAATACATGTTTGTATACCACATAGGTCCCTTAGTACAAGAATATATCATTACAGAATTCATGATTCAAAAATTCAAAATACAATTCTTGTACTAATCAACTTTCATCTATCAAAACTATACATATCATCAGCCATTCTTCATGCAGATAAACATATAGGGAAATTATCACATTTTTCATTTTCTCTTACCTTCTGCATTTCCTGCAATACATGTTTAAAATCACAAAACGAGGGTTAGACCGAAAGGTCTAGTGAGTTACCCTATTTATGTTATTGCAGGGTGATAATCACCAAAACTTTTATGTAAAATGATTCTTCATATATAACAAATATATGAACAAATAAGTACATAATACCAATACCTTTTATTTTTCAAACCAAATTCTTTGCTTGCAAATAACACATCCAATCCCAACAGGTTGCACTAACTGATTTATCATAACGTCACTTTTAAACCTTTTAAGTTAAATAAGATTTAATCAAAGTTCAGATTAAACCAGTAACATCCAAACTATGATTTCCCAAAAGATCCTCTCTCTCAATGATTTGATGTTAATTCATTTTCACTTATACGTTGTATATATGTTTCTGTCTTTTTAGTTCTAGCGATCTTCACTGAGCATTTTCAGTGATCCCTGAAGAACTTGTATTGTAAATCTATCAGAAACAGAGATACTTCAAGAAGACAGCACTCACACCAAAGACTGAAACTGAAGATTAGAGACTGGCGAGTACGTGATCTGAAGTGGTACTTAATGATTACAAGCCTGTCGATATATGTGTGAAGACTGCTCAAGCTTCAGCGAATGATGAAGAGACCTTCAGGTCATTCCAGCATTCAGCGATCAAATGAAGCTTGCTTAGCACTATTGTTGTTGTCTTGTCCTTATGCACACAAAGGACAAAC